GCAGGAGATGGAGTCACAAGACCGTGTTGGAACATTGGCCTAGCACACCACACAAGCCTTGTTGGGGGGGAAATTCTTCAACAAAAAAAGAAAAAAGAAAGAAATGGAACATGTTATACCCGAAGAACACACAAGAATTCCCCCAGATCTAAAGGTTGAATCAACTAACCGTCATAGTTTTATGGCATCCTAAAACACACGTTCTTTCCACTGCTACATCATGCAAGGCCCGACTCACGTCAACATTATGGATTAAGGCTTTTTTGTGTGTGGCTTCTTGGGCCTCTCTTCCAACTATTTCGACGCATAAGAACCCCTTAAAGCTTTAGTTTGTTCACATATCAGGCGTGTTAGTCACCGCCATATCCTCATTAAGTCAATGTTTTATTTTTCTTTATCGCCCGTTTTCTCAAAACGCGGTTTTTCTGTATATATATTTTTCCAATACCTCCCACCATTTCTCATCCGTCTTCATGAAATGTTTACACAGCGAAGAGAAGATGTACCGGTAACACTAAAAATGGTATGTTGAATTTTCTTACGGAATAGATTTTTGTTGGTGGTGTCTGGAGAGTGGAGTTTGTTTTAGTAGTACCGGTAAGGTTTTACGGCGCTCGCAACTGCATAAGGTCATATGAGCGCTCAGGGGTGGAAGTCAACAGAGAAGTCCTTACAGGGAATCAGACTTACTCAGCTCACCTCTCTAGCTTCAATAGCACAAAGTCTGCTTCGACTATCAAGGCTCCCCGGAAATAGCGGGTCACAAGAGTGTGACAAACATACAAAAGAAGTAGAGGAAACTGACGATAGTAAGGATTAGGAAAGAAAAAGCAGCAGTTCCCTGTTACAGTTCAGGCACAGTTATGAGCATGGCATCGATGAATCAGCCCATTTACAATTGTGCTGTGCATAAGAACAGGTTAATACCCCCCCCCCATTGGGAATGGTGTAAAGACACTCCAGTCAGTAGCAGCGCCCCGGGGGTAGTGTGGACTTTCACTGATTTGTTGTTTAGCGCCCCGGGGGTAGTGTGGACTTTCACTGATTTGTTGTTTAGCGCCCCGGGGGTAGTGGTGTAAAGACACTCCAGTGTGGACTTTCACTGATTTGTTGTTTAGCGCCCCGGGGGTAATGTGGACTTTCACTGATTTGTTGTTTAGCGCCCGGGGGTAGTGGTGTAAAGACACTCCAGTCAGTAGCAGCGCCCCGGGGGTAGTGTGGACTTTCACTGATTTGTTGTTTAGCGCCCCGGTGGTAGTGTGGACTTTCACTGATTTGTTGTTTAGCGCCCCGGGGGGAATGGTGTAAAGACACTCCAGTGTGGACTTTCACTGATTTGTTGTTTAGCGCCCCGGGGGTAGTGACTTTCACTGATTTGTTGTTTAGCGCCCCGGGGGTAGTGACTTTCACTGATTTGTTGTTTTGGACTTTCACTGATTTGTTGTTTGCACAAACTTGAATAGCCTACTACCTCAAGAAAAAAACAAACATTAAATTCATTAAAAAAATTTCAAAGTTGCTCAGAAAAAAGCCAACAGATCATTTTGTAGAACTATTGTTTGCTAACCTACATGCAATTTTTAAAAAATAACAACTTGTTTCCATTTGTCAACAATATCAAACATGGTTGCCCTCTCCATCGCAATAAAACTTGTATTTTTTCCCCTGGAATTTGATTGCAGATT